GTAAGTCCGCAGACATACCGCTGTGCCACTGGGGGGGGGGGTGGCGGCTTTTATATACTTCGGTGGCTCAGTGATAGGCTTGAAAGATCATAACGCTAAAATTCTGGGTTCGATTACAGCGAAGATAGCCTATTATGTAGCTTTAAGCTTAAAACAATATGAAAGACAATATATGTGCATGTATATATATATATATATATATATATATAAATGCTATAGTAAAAAATAAAACAAAATAATAAATGCATGTGTGTATATTTATATATATGTATAAAAGCTATTATTAAAAAATTAGAAGCTGTTTGTATTTTAGCTGTGATATTCTCTTAGTTACTATTGTTATTGTCTGACTATTTCAGGCTTGGTCCCGTTCGTCTAATGTCATTGACCTTCTCAACATTAATTTTTTATTATAATTTACCACTATTTGCCAGACAGATATACGGACATGTGCTAGGAATTAAGAAACATTATTCCTGTTAGTAGATATCTAGTTTAGAAGAAATTCAATTAGAAAATATTATAAACGGTTACTAAAAACATTTTTATGATCTTATAAACACATTTAGTATTACAGAAAAGCAAAATATGATTTTCGTTGATATACAGTAGTATTTAACGAAACCTGCCGCTGGTTAAATATCATTGTTTTTTGGTTTTTTTTACAGCAAACCCACATTGGGCTATCTGCCGTGTCTACCGCAGGGAATCGAACCCCAGATTCTAGCGTTGTAACTCCGTAAACTTACCGCTTTCCCATCTGGGGACAAATATTATTGTCAACCTGATTTAAAAAATGCCATCATACTATACATAACATAAATATTTTTCTCATAAATGTTTCGTCAGTCTTCACGTTTCTGTTTCACACCCAGTCAGTCGTATTCCCAGTTTAATCTGTGTAAGTCGTATTCTCAGTTTAATCTGTGTAGGTCGTATTCCCAGTTTAATTTGTGTAAGTCGTATTCCCAGTTTAATCTGTGTAGGTCGTATTCCCAGTTTAATCTGTGTAAGTCGTATTCCCAGTTTAATCTGTGTAAGTCGTATTCCCAGTTTAATCTGTGTAAGTCGTATTCCCAGTTTAATCTGTGTAAGTCGTATTCCCAGCTTAATCTGTGTAAGTTGTATTCCCAGTTTAATCTGTGTAAGTTGTACTCCCAGTTTGATCTGTGTAAGTCGTATTCCCAGTTTAATCTGTGTAAGTCGTATTCCCAGTTTAATCTGTGTAAGTTGTATTCCCAGTTTAATCTGTGTAAGTCGT